TCCATCTCATTAACTGGTCCTCTGCTGAAACTATCTACCCTTCTAGCCTTCTACAAAATTCTTAACATGAATCTTATCCTAGCTTTGTTTCTGTAGATGCCTGCCTGTCTGTACTTTGTCAAATGCACTGATCTTCACAATACTCGTTACCTTAGCCTTCTTCTCTCCTTTCCTCTTGACTTTCCTTTTCTTAGCTCCTTTCCTGTCCTAATTTGCGCCACTAGGCCTGCGCTGCAGTTGTTCTCTGCCTCCTTGGCGGCAAGCGTTAGTACTGAAGTGCTGTAATTTCCAAGGCCCTGAGATTTCATTTATTCTCGTTACTGTATCACTAGTGTCCGGCATGGGCCAGTAGATCTTCTGCAGTGCTTTTCTATTGTTTTGCATTTACGGACTATTACCACTTCTTTACTACTACACTCTACTATTTCTTATATCGCTACTACTACTGCAACTACCTCATTACAACTACTTCCACTGCTGCTATTACTATAAATAATACTACTGATGTTGTTAATTCTGCTACGACGACCATGTCCATTACTACTACTACTACTACCACTACTAGTAGTAGTAGTAGTACTGTGTTTTTGATCCTCTTAGCTGTAGATGGAGAACGGTGACTAATGGACTATGCCACCTACAGGGACTGCTAGTCCTGTATAAAGTCCGTCCGTGGCCATTCCCATGTCACGGTCGACTCACAGCCTCCCATCTCACATGCATTCTCCATTGCGTATGAGCCCTCCATGACATTTACAACATAAAAGCCGAGATTTGCCACACCAATTCGTATTGCTTTGTTTAGGATAGCATAGGATTCGAGAGACATAATTTCCATGCAAATTATTATGACAGCACCTAGAACTACTTGATCAGGCGACAAAGGATGCGTCTCACTATCCTCTTAATGACTCATCATAGTCTTGTCCTGATAAAGGTCTCTGCTGAATCTGACGCCCCTGACTTGTGTCATAGTACGCTGCCTTCTGCTGGAACTGCTGCTCATTGGTCGAAATATTTGAATCGCTTCCAGTCTTGACTTCCAGGACATACGCTTTCCAGTTTTGTAGATCACAGATTATATTTTGTTTATGCAGTCCGTTCGTTTGTATAGAGACGGTTCCTTCACCACAACATGGTTTTTACACTGATAATCTGGTGCAGTCTCATCGACAACATTATCAAGTCTTATTACCCGTTGTTCGTGAACCCTGAGGCATGTCTGAAGGATATGACCTAAAGTTTGTCTTTGACCGCAGCCAGCACACACTACACTACGGAGCCACCGTCTCTTGCCTTTCTTACCTTGGTGGGCGTAAAGTTATACTTCACTTTAAGAACATTGACGCAATCAGCTCTTTTCATCAAAGTTGTGCCATTGGTCATCCAGCCACGACCCTGTGACACCATCAAGGAAAGACACCAGTAACTTATGCCATTGTCTATCGTCTTGCTTCCTGGTTGACACAAGAGTGCCAACAATCCCACTCTTTTCCACTGCCAGGATCATTTTCACTGTATTCGGATGTAGTGCTAATGCTTGATCAACAGGCTGTCTTTCCCATGAGGCGCGTCCAATATGTTCCTCCTAAGTATTGGCACTTGTTGAAAGCAAATACATTCCAATCCACTACTAGCAACGGAGTGTAGAATACTCCCAATGGAGTACCTCTGGGAAAATTCTGCCGTTTTCTGATCATTGGTCTGTTTTACCAACAGCTCTCAATGTGTTATGAAACACACCTACCAACACCATAGTATATATTATACAAGGAATTAAATTACTACTACCACCACCATTACCACCCCCTTCTTCCCCACCTCCCATAGTGTATCATGATCTCTATTTTTTCTGGACTTCCTTGTGACGACGGTTCATGAGGTTCATGTCCTGTGTGCGGGTTATTGGTGAAGTGGTTCATCCACACTACTGTGACTTCTTTCCTCACGTTGCCACATTCCTGTATTCACATACACACGTCTTCAGATTTGTGTGTGTATGTGTATTCACCTATTTGAAGCTCCTGGCCCCGCCTCTTCGCTGGTCATTACTAGATCTGCTCCCTGTTCCATGAACTTCATCGTACTTCTTCTTAAAGCTAAGTATGGCTCCTGCCTCCACTACATCACTCTCCAGATTGTTCAACTTCCTGACAGCTGTGTGACTGAAGAAATGCTTCCTCATATCCCTGTAACTCATCCGAGTTGTCAACTTCCAGTTGTGACCCCTTGTTGCTGTGTCATCTTCGGAACATCATGTCCCTATCCACCTTGTCTATTCCCCGCAGTATCTTGTATGTCGTTATCATGTCTCCCCTGATCCTTCTGTCCCCCAGTGTCGTCAGTCCGATTTCCCTTAACCATCCTCGTACTACATTCCCTTGAGCTCTGGGACTAGCCTTGTTGCAAACCTTTGTACTTTCTCTAACTTCTTGACGTGCTTGACCAGGTGTGGGTTCCAGACTGGTACTGCATACTCCAGTATGGGCCTGACATACACAGTGTACAGTGTCTTGAACGATTCCTTATTAAGGTATCGGAACGCTATTCTCAGGTTTGCCAGGCGCCCGTGTGCTGCAGCAGTTATTTGGTTGATGTGTGCCTCCGGTGATGTGCTCGGTGTTATGGTCACCCCAAGGTCTTTCTCCCTGAGTGAGGTCTGTAGTCTTTGTCCACCTAGCCTATACTCTGTCTGCGGTCTTCTTTGCCCCTCCCCAATCTTCATGACTTTGCATTTGGCTGGACTGAATTCGAGAAGCCAGTTACTGGACCACATGTCCAGCCTTTCCAGGTCTCTTTGCAGTCCTGCCTCATCCTCGTCCGATTTAATTCTTCTCATCAACTTCACATCATCTGCGAACAGGGACACTTCAGAGTCTATTCCTTCCATCATGTCGTTCACATATATCAAAAAATGCACTGGTCCTAGAACTGACCCCTGTGGGACCCCGCTCGTAACAGGCGCCCACTGTGATACCTCTTGCACGTACCATGACTCGTTGCTGCCTCCCTGTCAGGTATTCCCTTATCCATTGCAGTGCCCTCCCTTTTACATGCGCCTGATCCTGCAGCTTCTGCACTAATCTCTTGTGGGGAACTGTGTCAAAGGCCTTCCTGCAGTCTAAGAAAACGCAATCTACCCACCCTTCTCTCTCGTGTCTTACTTCTGTTACGTGTGTGTGTGTGTGTGTGTGTGTGTGTGTGTGTGTGTGTGTGTGTGTGTGTGTGTGGGGTGTGTTGTTTTACACCGGGGTTGTGACTGGTTGAGGAAGCAGTCATGTGTGTAACATTTGGTGAGGCTGTGGTCATTGTCACGGTCCTCTGTGCTGGGAGAGAGAGATAGAGAGAGAAAGTTAGATTCTAAACGAAACATTCGTGAAGATAAAGATACCGGAATATAAATAAGAGAAAGATGGAGATAAGGTACCGGAAGAGACACTGAATAAGGAAAGTTGAGATAATGAGAGACACAAAATAAGATATAGACAGAGATACATTAATTAAGATACAGAAATATTACCTGTCTTATTTCTGAAGTTTCTTAGAGTAAGGAGACCTGTACGTGAGTGTGTGTCGTGACACAGACCTGTACGTGAGTGTGTGTCGTGACACAGACCTGTACGTGAGTGTGTGTCGTGACACAGACCTGTACGTGAGTGTGTGTCGTGACACAGACCTGTACGTGAGTGTGTGTCGTGACACAGACCTGTACGTGTGTGTGTGTGTGTCGTGACTCAGGCCTGTACGTGAGTGTGTGTCGTGACACAGACCTGTACATGTGTCATAACACATCCCTGTTGGTGCCGGAATTTTGGAAAGAAGGTTCCTGGTTGCTAGTGAAGGGCTCTTGATGCAAGGAACTGAAGGTCTCCTTCCCCTTTCTCCGATCAGATCTTATTTCGTAGCATTCCCAGGCTATACAACAACAGCAGCAATGATAATAATTGTCGAGTATGTAGGAGCGGGTTCGTGACTACCTTCGTGGATTTGCCCTGGTTAACTGCAGAGAGGAATAGCGTGGTTGTGTAGCTAGCTGCTCTTACACGCCGCCTTGTTACAACACCGTGACACAGCCTGCTTGTGTGTGTAACTTAACCTGAGACAAGATTATGTTGCAATGATGGCAGCCATGGTAGCAGCCACTGCTGCTGGGATCACCAGGTGCTGGGATCACTTGTTATGCTGATCTACACTGAGAGACTGAGCTCGTGTTCCCCCCACCAAGCTCTCTCTATCACCTCTCTCTCTCTCTCTCTCTCTCTCTCCTCTCTCTCTCTCTCTCTCTCTCTCTCTCTCTCTCTCTCTCTCTCTCTCTCTCTCGTTTATGAAGTATGTGCAGATAAATACCTGGCTTTATATTTTATTTAATATCTGAAATCTTGTATTAGCAGAACGTTTCGCTCTGTGTGGAGCTTTAACTTGACCAGCAGAAGCTCTGCAGCTCTAGAGGGCAAAACGTTGTCGTAATAAAAGCTTGTTTTGGAACCTGTGTGTTGCCCACTACCTCAGTAAACAGTCGTCAGCTGACTGACATAGCTCGGGCTATTCCTGGGCAGTTATTAGGTACTAATGACCCGATGTGTAGTAATCACGTACTAAGTTGAGCTGTAATTAGGTATTAACACTTTTAACTGTAATTAGGTATTAACACTTAATTGTAATTAGATATTAATAACTAGTTTAACTGTAATTAGGTATTAACATTAGTTTAAATGTAATTAGGTATTAATGACACTTGCGTGGTACTGAGATACTAATGACGCCTGATGTAAATTAATTAGGCACTGATGGAAATGACGTATAGTACTCAGGTACTACTGATATTTGATATATAGTACTCAAGTAGTAATGAGACCTAATGTAAAGTACTCAGATACTAATGACACGTAATGTGTCATAATTAGGTACTAGTGACAAGTGGTGTGTAGTAATTAGGTACTAATGGCCCGTGGTGTGTAGAAATTAGGTACTAATGACGCCTTTCTTACTATTACAGTTAAACGATGCGGGGATTGAGAGTGGGAGCCTCGGTGCTCCTCCTGGCTGGCCTTACCTCAGCATTTATCCACAAGGTAAGTGTGAGACTTATTGCATATACATCTGTGGCGTGTGTGTGTGCATACTATCTTTTATATATATATAATATATATATAAATATATATATATTATATATATATATAATTTTATTATATATATATATATTTTATATATATATATATATAATATTCACTTGAAAATATGAATTGGGAAACATGGTTACAGTTACTGGAATGCTCTCGTTGGCAAGGAAGAAGAAGAGAGGAGCTATGATCACTACATAGAAATTAATGAACTCAAACGATGTTTTAGATGTAGCACTGAGGGTCGAATATGTTGTGCGGTATCACTCCTCCTGTGAGTGAACACTCCACCACCACTATCACCAGCCTGCAAGCAGCAGTACAGTGGTACACTAATAGACTGATTGGTTGGTAAATCAATCTTAACGCTTGTCGACTAGTCAACTTTTCACCACCACTCAAGGACACTTTAATTATAAAATACAGAGATTAAGCTCTCGATGCATACAAACTGAGAAACATACACACTAAGAAACATACACACTGAGAAACATACACACTGAGAAACATACACACTGAGAAACATACACACTGAGAAACATACACACTAAGAAACATACACATAGAAATCACACTAAAAAACATACACACTAAAAAACATTTCACACTAAAAAACACATGAGAAACATACAATGAGAAACATACACACTAAGAAACATACACATAAGAAAAAACCACTGAGAAACATACACACTAAGAAACATACACATAAGAAACATCACACTGAGAAAATACACACTAAGAAAAATACCCACAAAGAAAAAATACACACTGAGAAAAAATACACACTAAAAAAACATACCACTAAAAAAAACACCTGAGAAAATACAATAAGAAACATACACACTAAAAAAATACACACTGAAAACATACACACTAGAAACATACACACTAAAAAAATACACACTGAGAACATACCACAGAACATCACCAAGAAACATACACCTAAAAAACATCAACAAGAAACATAAACACTGAGAACATCACACAAGAACATCACACTAAAAAACATACACACTAAGAAACATTCCCACACTAAGAAACATTTCACAAATAAGAAAAATACACCAAAAAACATACACAAAAAAAATACACATAGAAAAACATACACACTAAAAAACATACCACTAAGAAACATACACATAAAAACATACACATAAGAAACTACACATGGAAACATAACCCCTAAAAACTACACACTAAGAAACATACACATAGAAAATACACACTAGAAAAAAACCCCTAAGAAACATACACACTGAGAAACATACACAATAAGAAACTACACACTGAGAAACATACACACTAAGAAACATAAAAAACACTAAGAAACATACAACTAAGAAAAAATTTCACCTGAGAAACTACACACTAAAAACATACACACTAAAAATACCACTAAGAAACATACACCTGAGAAAAACACACTAGAAACAACCACTAAAAAATAACACTAAGAAAATAACACTAGAAAAAATAACAAGGAAAAAAAACACCTAGAAACATCACACTAAAAAACATACACACTAAGAAACTACCACTAAAAAAAACACACTGAGAAACTTCACATGAAAAACATCACACAAGAAACATACACACTGAAAAACAACACACTAAGAAAAATCACCTAAGAAAAACACACTAAGAAACATAAAAAATGAGAAACATACACACTAAGAAAAACACACTGAGAAACATAACCTAAGAAAATACACACTAGAAACATACACACTAAAAAAATACACACTGAAAACATACAAACCCCTAAGAAACATACACATAGAAAATACAACTAAAACAACACCTAGAAACATACCACTAAAAAACTACACACAAAAAAATACACACAAAAAACAACACCTAAGAAAATACACACTAGAAACATCCACTAAGAAAAATAACACTAAGAAACATCACCAGAAACATACACACAAGAAAATACACCTGAGAAAATACACACTAAGAAACATACAACTAAGAAAAAATACAACTAAGAAAATACACACTAGAAAAATACACATGAGAACATACACACTAAGAAACATACACCTAAAAACATACACATAAGAAACAAAACACTGAGAAAAATACACAAAAGAAAATACACCTAGAAACATACACACTAAAAAACATTTCACAAATGAGAAACATACACCTAAGAAACATACACACTAAGAAACATACACACTAGAAACATACACACTGAGAAAATACACACTAAGAAACATAACCCCTAGAAAATTTCACACTAAGAAACATAAACTAGAAAACATACCCCTTGGGGAAAAATACAATAAGAAAAAATAACACAAAAAACATACACACTAAAAACATAACCCCGAGAAACATCACACAAGAAACATAACACTGAGAAACATACACATAAGAAACATAACACTGGGGAAACATACCCCACTAAGAAAATCCACTAAGAAAATACACCTAGAAACTACACACAAGAAAATACACTAAAAATAACCTAAAAACATCACACTAGAAACATACACACTAGAAACATACACACTAAGAAACATACACACTGAGAAAAATACAACACGCCACTAAAACATACGACCACTGAGAACCAACAACACCTAAGAACACACAACACCGGAAAACATACACACCTAAGAAAACATACGACCACACAGAAACATACCCCACACCATACAACGAGGCACATACACACTAAGCAAACATACACACCTGAGAAACCATACAACACCGAGACACAACACACAAGAACAAACAACGACCCGGTCACACCAACAACGACCCTAAGTGCACACCATACAACACCCGGGCACATCAACTAACGACCCAGTACACACAACGATACCCGGCACACCAACAAACTAAGAAACTACCTGTGATTACCAGTCATATCACACCCGCGGTACACTAACGTAACGACCCGCGGCACACCAACAACGACCCGCGGTCACACCAACAACGACCCGCGGCAACACCAACAACGACCCACGGTACACCAACAACGACCCGCGGCACACCAACAACGACCCGCGGCACACCAACAACGACCCGCGGCACACCAACAACGACCCGCGGCACACCAACAACGACCCGCGGCACACCAACAACGACCCCGGACAACCAACAACGACCCGCGGCACACCACAACGACCCGCGACACCACAACGACCCGCGCACACCAACAACGACCCGCGGCACACCAACAACGACCCCGGTACACCAACAACGACCCGCGGCACACCAACAACGACCCGCGGCACACCAACAACGACCCGCGGCACACCAACAACGACCCGCGGTACACCAACAACGACCCGCGGCACACCAACAACGACCCGCGGCACACCAACAACGACCCGCGGCACACCAACAACGACCCGCGGCACACCATCAACGACCCGCGGCACACCATCAACGACCCGCGGCACACCAACAACAACACAACGTACTTTCTAATTAACAAGAAAGTGTAGAAAGGGTGTTGGAAAACATCTCTGCATAAATAGATGGACTGACGGTTGAAGTTGTCTCAGGGAGCAGGTATCGTGTGAGCAGGTATCGTGTACCACAACTACACGGCTGGGAAAGTAAAAGATTTATACGACAGATGTATTATAGAACACGGAACACTACAAGCACAAGCCATCTTGTAGATACATGTCCATATACATAGTTAAATAGATTAGACCTCACAAGACACTGATTTAACACACAGGTTAGTGTGAATTCCCGTCAGTGATCCTGGAAGTAAAGAGTGGGATCTAGGCTCTCTCTCTCTCTCTCTCTCTCTCTCTCTCTCTCTCTCTCTCTCTCTCTCTCTCTCTCTCTCTCTCTCTCTCTCTCACTCACTCACTCACTCACTCTCTCACTCTCTCTCTCGCCTCTCCTTCAAGCTGGTCAAGCAGGTTTACCAGCAGTGAGATAATTATTAGAAAGTCTCCACTGATACTTAGGGAAGGTGGGGGAGCTTTGGGAGAAGTTGGTGGGGATATCTGGGGTATATCTGTGGGGTTCTGGGGGAATAGGAGTGCCAGGTTCCGGCACCCCACACCCCGTCTACACGCCACCTACACCTCCTCCTTCTCCTTCTCCATTTACTTCTTAAAGTTCTGTCATGTTTCTGTGTCCATGCCTATATGTACCTTGTCCTTCAATTATTCCCTGACCATCAGATAATCTGATCTGGCTACTAGCCCTACCACAACACCCAACCAATACTCCCCTACAACCACTGCCATCACTACCTCTCCCCCCCTACCACACTTATCCCCACTCCGTCAACCACTGCCATCACTACCTCTCCCTCTACCACAGTTATCACCACTTATCCTCTTGCCACAGTCACCTTCCCCAGCCACCACCCTACTCTGCTGCATCGACAGTGTTACTACCACATTTACAACCACAACAACCATCAACAACCAGGCACAACTACCATCATTCACAACCAGTGTTTGTATATATGGTTTAAAAACCCGAGAGGTTAGAGAACAACTAGCAAACGAGTTTCAGGAAAGTAGAACAGTGCAGGTAGGAGCTAGAAGATTCACTGCAAATCACAATGTGTCAAGTTAAACATGTGTGTAGAGAGAGTTACAAGGTCAGCAGACTACCAGACTATTACTGCTAGACTAAGGTTAGCCTGTATCTCTGACGCCACGACTAGAACACTGCATCACAGAGCATGCAAAAATCCATTCATATAGAGACACCTGCTAGTAATTCCTACAGGAACTGGCAAATCACTTCATTGTTAATGATAATACATGTAAAACCTTGAGATGGTAATCCCACTGTACACAGCCAGGAACTCTTGTTTGCTGACACTAACCTACTGAATGACCACTGTTTATACTTAGTGTTTGTAATGACATTGTAATTATATTGTTTGTAATGACATTGTTTATAATGACATTGTCATGGCAGTGTTTATAATGATATTGTAATAAGAGTGTTAT